GAAGACCCAATAACAAACCCCACAGTTCTGCCTTGACCGAGCTTCCAGCCCCCAGATTTCTAGCAAAGCCCAATAACCAGTGTCCAGCTTCATCCCTTATGACACCCCCACACCCATTCTGCCTATTACCTCTCATTGCAGAACCATCCGTATTTATTTTAATGGAACCAGATGGAGGAGGAGTCCATTTGATCAGCATCTCCACACGAGGACTAGCCTGAAGACCAGTTTCCTTATACAGTTTCTTTGCATCTAAAAAATTCAGCAGATAGGATCGAGCCACTCTAGCAATACCCTCAACTCTACTGTTCTTGTTATCAAAGACAAAGGTGTTCCTTTCCTTCCATATAAACCAACAAATAATGCCAAAGAAAGTATTCAATTTTTGTTCTTCCTAGCAATACTGATTTAGGAGACAGATTAGATGACAGCCACCCATGAAAAGAAGAATTAAAAAATTCCCTCCAATTTTCTTGGTTGATGACCCGTTTCCACAAAGCTTGAGCCCAATGGCAGTCGCGCATGACATGGAGGCAACTCTCAGAGGCCGAGTTGCACCTGGGACAAACATTGGAGCTCGAAATATGTCTCCGGTATCTCCTTTGATTTGTGGGCAAATTTTCCCCAAGGAGTAGCCATAGGAAGGTCTTGATTCTGGGTGGTCCATCCTAATCCCAGGCTATATTCCACCGCGATTGCTGTTGTGGGGGAACTTCATTGCATAACATGGCAGATTTGAAAGAAAACCGACTATTTTGTGATGCATCCCAAATCACCTGGTCATCTCCATCATCTGGCTGAGGAGAGCAAGTACCTGCAATAAAATTTAAGGCTTCATCTGTTAGGATGCTTTAGAATTCTTGCCATCTTCATTCACCATGGTGATCAACCATTTGGGCTACTACAGCATCTTGGGACATTTGGGGGATGGCTTGGGTCGTATGATTAGTGAGAGGACCAATAGCCAGCCACTTATCGTACCAGAAAGAGCTCCCAGTTCCATTTCCTATCATAATCCTCGACCCTTCATACACATTGGGCCAAACCCGAGAGAGACCAAGCCAGAGATTGGAGCTTCCAGTTCTTTTTCTAATAATGGGTAACAAACCCTCCTCCACTTTGTATTTACTTTTCTGAACCCGCACCCAGAGGTCCTCTCCATTGGTTAGAATGCCATGGCCAATCTTCGTAAGACAAGCTTTATTGGTCTTCCTCAGGCTTCTAATCCTCGGGCCACCATCCTCCTTATCCCTGCAAACAGTACTCCACGGCAAGGCATGGAATTTTCTAGCTTCCTGGCTGGATCCCCACACAAAGCCTCTCATTTTCTTCTCCACTTCATCACAGGTTCCAAGGGGAACGAGAGAGGTTTGCATAGAATAAGTGGGAAGTGCAGCAAGGACAACTTTGGTGAGGACAACCCTTCCTGCCATAGAGAGTGATTTGGCTTTCCATGCGCTGAGCTTGCTATTGGTCTTGTCAATAATGTGCCTGAAAGTGTTCTTATTTACTCTCTTGTGCAAAATGGGAATCCCCAAGTATTTTCCCAGATCTGCAGTAGGTATAAAATTCATGCCCTAACAGAGTTCACTCCTCTTTACATGGTTTACATTCTTTGAGAAGAAACACCTTGTTTTGTTGTTGCTAATTTTCTGACCAGAAGCACTAAAAAAGTGGCTAAGGATATCTGAGATCAGATTGGCCTGGTCACTTAACGCTTCTGTGAAAAGCAAGAGATCATCAGCAAAAAATAAATGAAAGATAGGGAGGCCTTTTTTACCCAGCTTGATAGGTTTCCACTTCTTATGAGAGACTGCTGCACTAATGATATGCCCAAGTCTTTCTATGCATAGCACAAAAAGATAGGGGGAAAGAGGATCGCCTTATCTAATTCCTCGGGTTGGTGTAAATTCTTCTGTCTGGGTACCATTCCAGAGAAGATTCATGGTGGAGGAAGTAACACAAGCCACAATGAGCCCCACCATGGAATTGGGCATCCCAGTTGTAAGGAGAGTGTCCTTAAGGAAATCCCAACTAATTTTATCATACGCCTTCTCCATATCCACCTTGATGGCCATCCACCCTTTTTTCCCCTTTTTAGTCCTTATAGAATGGAAGATCTCTTAGCTGATAATAATGTTGTCCGATGCATGTCTCCCCTTCACAAAACTGCATTGGTTAGGCATAATGAGCTCACTCATGTGATTCTTAAGCCGAGAAGCAACAACTTTGGTGATCACCTTGTAGATGACATTACAGAGGCTGGTAGGCCTGAACTGACTTATAGATTCCGGATAATCAATCTTGGGAATTAAGCAGATCAGAGTTTGATTAATCTTAGCCACTTATTAGGATCCTTGAAGATTTCCTTAATGAGCTTGAAGACAGAACTCCCCACTTTGTCCCATTGGGATTGGAAAAAGACCGCATGCAATCCATCCACTCCCGGAGCTTTAAATGGGCTCATACTGAATACAATGTGTTTAACTTCAGCTTGATTAGGTGCAGATTCAAAATTCCTCCATTTCTGACTATCAAGAGTAGGGAACAACCCTCCAATACAAAGAGTTGGAAAGTTTTGGGTCTCCTCTGCATACAGGTTCCTGAAGTAGTTGATGGCTAAGGATCTGAGCTCCTCTGGATCATCTACCCACTCACCCTCCTCATTCCGCAAGGATTTAATCTTATTTCTTCTCGTGCGGGCAACCGAATGGAAGTACCTTGAATTTCGATCCCCAAAAGCCATACAATTACACCTGGATCTCTGAAACCAAGTTAACTCTTCTTGGATATAGATAGTATTCAATTCATGCCACAAGGACCTGTGAAGTCTCTCCAGGGATTCATCTGAGCCTCTACACAGCTGACCATCAACCCCACTAAGTCTTCTTTGAATCTGCTTTTTCTTATTTTGGGCTTCTTTAAATCTACTCTGATGCCAGTGTGTCGCTTCCTGATGGAATTTATCAACCGCAGGGGCCCATTCCATATCATTCTCCCAGCAGCCCTCTACAACTTCCCTGAAGCTTTCATTTGTCAGCCAAGCAGCAAGAAAGCAAAAAGGTTTGGGACCCGTAGGGGGGATAGCCAAAGAGTCATCTCTCAGGAGAATAGGCCTGTGATCAGAGCCATAAAACATAAGGTGGTGAACCGACCTTTCTGGGAATCCCAAGTGCCAAGCCTCATTGACCACTAACCTGTCAATTCTTTCTTGAAGAGAGCCCTTTTTCCAAGTAAAGCAAGTTTTGTTCCTCCATATGTTCAAACGGTGTCTGTCGCTGAACAGACAAATCCATTGACAGTTGTGGCTTTGCTAAAAGGCCAAGCAGAGATTATAGTAGCGGATGTACTAAAAAAAAAAGTTAGCAGAAATATTGGATTATCAAAAGGAGATACGCCAACTGTTAAAAAAAACAAGATAAAGAAGATGAAGATATATCTAGCCCAGTTTCTAGAAATTCCTTAGATACTATTGGGAGACATGATACAGATGATAAAGTGTAGAATCAGATTTCCAAGCCAGCATTTCTTGTCAATCTTTGAAAATAAAAGATAAAGTTGGCAGCATCTGACATAAAGAAAAGTGTTCGCAAAATAGTAAAGATCTTATCTTCAGCAATATGTGTCGACGGGTTATATTGTAAAAAAATTTAGCGTCGATAAGGGTAGTTTTTATGTAACAAAGCATGTTTTAGATATTTATTATTTGGTTTTGTCTTTTTGTACTATTAGAGAATCTTTCTTTTAAATCTGATGCGACAATGGGCCCAAAATGTACTTGACTCAAAAAAGATAAGATTTTTTAGTATAATTCTAAGTCTGAAGTTTGCATCATAAGTCTCAACTTGAGTCTATAAATAGAGACTCTGGTCACTTGTAAAATATATAAGAAGTGTATGTGAGTTTTTAAGTGTCTGAATATCTGAAATGAGTCTATATCCTTCTCTCTCTTTTTTGCTTCAACATTCCAAAGGTATCTTCCTTCTTTAGCTTCTTTAAAGTCTCTTTGGGAATTTCGAAAGAGAAATCTTTCTTCATATCCAAGGTAGCATGTCTTCCGAAGATTTTTATTTTAATGTATATTCTTTCTCTTGTTAATTCTCCTTCTTGTTATATAATATTCTTTTAATATTCTATGAGATAGGTAATCTTACCCCGTTTGATATGCATCACTGTTCACCAACCCTAACGGAGCCGGTAAGTGACCAATTGAACCTGCATAAAGAAATTAGAGTGGTTTTAGGTACTTGGTAAGTGTAATTAGGATACGAGAACATTGTTAAGATGCTCTTGAGTCTTGAGGATAGGATTGTAGAGCCCTACCAAAAAATAAAAGTCTTTGACCCATGGCAAACTCACAGCATTTGCATCGAAATTAGCCTGCAATAAACAACAGCAACCTATTCAAAAAATTTGCTAGCATCACCGTGTTTTTTTCTTTTTAAAAGAAAAATAGACCACACTGAGCCCGAGGGCTTTAAACTTGAGCACTACTTTACGTATGGGATATAATTTTCCGTGTTACATAAATAATTTGTCTCGTTCAATACACAAAAAAATATATAAAACCCATACAAAAAAAAGAAGAGAGAATGAAGATAAATAAATCTCATTTACTTTTATTTATATTGTATGAGACATAAGAAACTATATTCCCATTAAATATACTCTAAATTGTAGTTCCTCCGAAAATAATATCCTTACATATGCCCATTATCAATTATTAATCATCAATTGTATGAACTATGGGATGTTGACATTTCAAAACATTTAAAATATTATTCAAACATTAACATCACCTTTATCTTAAATTAATTAATAAGATTTTAAGTCTTCAAAATTAAAATAAAAAAAAATATCACCATCACTTTTATCCCAAATTAATAAATAAAATTTTAAAAGTCCTCAAAACTGAAATAAAAATAAAGCTTGAACGCAACACATGCACATTTAACTATTTCACATCAACTTCTGGATTGTGAAGTCAATTCTTAAGCCAGTAAAGAACTGCAAACCATATCACAGCTTGGCTGGTACATCCAAACTAGTAGGCACTACCCAGCGAGGCTTACAAAAGTTGGCTGAATATTTTTTTTGGATACTCTAGTAAAAATTGAACACATACCTAATACAAACTACCCAAATCCCTCACCGTTAGACCAATCGTAATAGCTTAAAGTTGGCTGAATATAGACCAGCCACCAGGAGAAATAGATGATGTTCTTAATCGATACACAAGACTGATTTTAAAAAGGAAAAGGGAAAAGAGGAGAGAGAGAGAGAAGAGAGGGGGGGGGGGGGGGGGGGGGGTTGGAAACGCAAAACATGATCACATTCAATATGGAAAATTACAAACTCATTTGAAAATAATTATTACACAAGAACAAATGATACAACACTATATATTGGAACAAAGATCAAAATCGATCAAATGAATGAGGACTTATAAGTGACTCTTCAAGTTCTCTAAAGCCTCGGTAGACTACTTCTGATTGGCTCTGTGGAAGGGCTAACCTCCGCACTTCAGTCATATACCTGCATTTAAAAGTCAATCAGACCAAAACTTCATCTGGACATAAATAATGGACCTGAACAATGGAAGACGAAAACAGGTGCAGGTCAAAAAATGGAAGATTTGAGAAATCAGCTTATTTCTAATATAATGTTCTCTTCGGATCAAGGAACAGTCACAAAAAGCTAATACCTTTATCTAATGGTAAAAATTATGCCCACGAGAAATGTCAGATGGACAATATTAATAATATGAAGAGATAAAAGTATAAAGAAGTCAACCTGTTTGCCGCACTTGTGATCTTGTCCCGAACTCCTTGGCTAGCAACTGTACGTTCAAATGAGTATCCTCCACCTAGTAATGGGGAAGGCCCACCAGGACTAGTACCCATCCTCTGTGAATATACAGACATAGACCATTCACGAAGTACCACTAGAACTGATCTCAGCATACGTAATCTAAGATTTGGAGATGGCAAAACAGCCCCATTTGCTAAAAGTTGATCATATGTGTTCAATACAGGTTCAGCTGCACCCTTACAAGCAGAAACAAGGGCTCTCGCAACATCCTCATCTCCAACGGGTTCAACCCTTGAATTTAACCTCTCCTACAGAAAGACATGAATTCAGATAAAAGCTAAGTCTATATACAGTTCAAAAGAATCCTAATTCCACCAAATCCTGCCTGCCAATAACTGAAAGGTGTTCTGGAGAGTAAAAGGAGAGAAATAATAACCATAAAGTAGCATTTACAGTCAAAACAATCGCTAAATTGTCAACAAATTTGGAAACATATACCAGTCCAGCCTTCTCTAGGTGAAGACAAATACTGTCAAGCGGTAAAACAGCTCCATCACCCGGATAAATACGGGGCCCAACCCTCTTTAATACTGAGCAAGCTTCAGCAATGCCACCTCTTGAAATAGCTTGATCTATAAGTCTAGCCCATGTCTCTCTGACAAAGCTGCTATCAGTATCACCAGAATAATTGGCAAAGTACAGCATCTCCAGGCATATCTAAAAGAAAAGTAGGAAATGAGGAATTGTCAACAGGAGATTTGATGAAGTTGTTTCAGAACTCCAAACATTTTTGACAATCTATTCAATAAGAACACTATATAGCCAAGAACCATCCAGGAGAACAGGCAGATACAACAACATCTGTAATGCTTCGTTTGGTTTGAAAAGAAAGAAAAAGGGAATGGAATTGACAGGAGAGAAAAAAAGAAAGTCATAACTTCCCATAGATGCCTGCATCCAGTTTGGTATCATTGGAAGGAAAAGAAGTGATTACAAAAATCATGATATATTTTATGGTTTGGTTTTGTTAAAAAAATAAATAAATGGAAGAAAATAAATAAAATGAACAGGAACAAATAAAATTAATACTTTACGTAACATTATTGATTTGGAGAACTCACTTAAATAAAATTGGTAGCAATAGATTGATAAAATTGGTAGCACCACCCCAAAAGCTAGGTCAAATGGTGGGAGTATTCCAAGCCTTATAAACCCCACATTAGTTGCTCATACAACCAATGTGGAACTCAAATCCCATACTTTGCAAATGGGGTCGTAACATTCCACCACGCTTCGCAGCCTAAGCCCGGGGTTCCAAGTTCAAGGTTCCAACCCTCGGGTTCCAATTCCAAGTTCCAATCTGCGAAACATAGTGGGTGCTCTGATACCATTTGATAAGAACCTTGAGGTGCACCATCCCGAAAGCTAGCTCAAAGGTTGGAAGTGTCCAAGGCCTTATAAACCCCACATTAGTTGCCCATATAACCAATGTAGGACTCAAGTCCCATACCTTGCAAATGGGGTTGTAACATAGATTTTTGAAATTTTAAATATATTAAATGATTATGAGAACCTAAAATCCCTTATTTTTCTCTCTTCAAAGACAAACCAAACAATGCTTGCTTTCCCTTTCGTACTTCAACCAAAGAACATAGAAAGGAAATTGCTCGGAAAAATCTAAATTCTAAACCTCAAGAGACTTTGAGGGACACCTAGTAATTTATTTCGTTATCAAGCTCTTAAAAGGTATTGAAAGAGAGCAAAATTAACAAAAAAATGTGAATAACCAGAAGAGAAAAATCTGAAGTTGCACAACCAACCAACCAAAACTAACGGTTGGTTGGAAGTTGCACAAATCTAACAAAACAAAATTTAAATATGAACAGTCAAAAAGAGGAAGGAAGTACCTCCCAGAGCTCAAAGGGAACAGCATATTCATTATATAACTGTGATATGCTCTTTACATCGGATGACAACTCTTTGGCCTTCTCCCGTGTTGCATTTGCAGAATTAGCATCAGCAGTTGAACTGCCCTCAGGGACTAAACCATTTTGGATAGAATCAGACGTGCTAGGTAAAACCTCTGACCTGGAAGCCATAGCCTCCAGTTCCTCTTTGATTTTTATCTGAAACCGAAGAACAGCAAGCTTCCCTTCAAGCAAATCTAGGAATCCACTGTCAATGGAACTCCGAGCAGAACCTATCAACCCGTCACTGTTAGTTGCACTTTTTGCCTGTAGAACTGCATTACTTAGGTGTTGACACCTGAATTTTACAAAACATAAAAGTATTAGAAGATATCCAAGCAAGCAGATCAAAACAATTCTAGTAATCCTAGTAAATTCTAGAGAACAATGAAGGGGTCTTCTTCAGTGGAAAAGGGGATCAGCATGAATACATGAAAAATGCACAGCCTTAGACGTAAGTGAATTTCTGTCATCCAAAACACATAAGGAGCAGAACTTATTTGAGAACTAATGGTGGATCAGGAATCAATTTCAATGTTTTATACGGTTTGATCAGGAGTCAGATTAAGCATCTTTCACTAGTGTTAATGAAAATACAGCTTAAATCTATCTAGGATATAAGTGGCCAAAAACTCCAGCTTCAACCCTGATTAACGTGAAAAATACAATTTTCTTTACTTGAAGTAATAGACTCAAGTTTTTGTTTTCGTAAAAGTATTTTAAAATAGGGCTTCATGTTTCTCCTGCACACACATGGCCACATGGGAGTGGGTGGGGCCCTATGAGAAGATGAGAAAGAAAGAGAAAAAGTGGGTGCTACCCACTTTCATGTGAGACTAAGTGCAGGAGATAAAGTTATCTCTTGTTAGTAGGAGAAACATTAATCCCTTTAAAATATCATTTTAAACATGATACCATTCACTATCTGGCAGTCTTGACATCATGCTCTGTGTGACCTCACAATTGCAAGATGAGATCCAAATGGTGTAAGGGTTCACTAAGTTTGGTTTATCCCAACCAGGTTAGCAGAGTAAATCAACAAAATTACTCAGAAAGCCAGAAGCTTCAATGGAAATGTAAGAAAAGGAGATACTAAAGACAATGAAATTGAGAAATTGATTAACCTCTGTTCAAGAGTAGGGACTCCATCAATAGAGCGCCTTTCAGCTAGTCTTAGCAATGCATGAGCTGCAAGCATATGTTGACGCTTCAAGACATAATACTGTGCCAAAAGTTCATAGTACTTGACTTGATTAGATGACATTGGTGCACTGGATTGCCCCATTGGAGAAGTTGTAGCAGTCACAGCACGAACCTAGCAGATCCGGAAAAACAAAAGAGGACCATGAAGAAAATGAGAAAATTACAAATTTTCTGAGAAATGGTATGAGAAGTAGGGCAAGTGTTTAGCTTCTTCATGCAAAACATATACAATCAAAATTATAATACATAATATTTGTGCCCTTTGACCAAGTGAACAGCAAGCCATTAACAAATTATTGGAGAGAAAGAGATACACAACCTCATGTATGGGTTTACGACCAGCACTTTGCAAAAATGGCAACAGGTCAGGACCTCCATACTCTAACAATTCATTCTCAAGACCCAAGTCAATCATAGCCCGGTAGAGATACTCATGGAAAATTCTGTCAGGTGATTGGACACCCAGCTGAACAATTTGGCATATATATTTTTTCCGGGAGGCTGGATCAAGTGAAGATTGTGAAGCAGCAGATCTGACGGGAGAGCCAAATTCATTCTGCAGAGCGTCACCTTTCAGCGACCGCAAAGCACTGATAATTATCTCATAACACTGCTCACGCTGAGCAAGTGCTTGTTCTCTGACAGTTGCATCAATTTCATCATTGTAAGCATCACCAGCAGGGTCAAGAGCCTGTGCCTTTTGAAGAGGTAGGCGCACTACAGCTTCGTAAAATCTGCAGTTGGCAAGTGTATTTAACTTTCACATTGAAGGCTTTCCAATCACAGGCCAGGGGAAAAAATTATGACACTAAACAAGAAAATGGAGGGCAAAAAAATAAAAAATATACCTTAAATCCTCAAAACGTTTGCAAACAGTTTGTAAGTCCACAGACTCTGGAACTTTGCTTAAGGAATTAAATGCTTCCCTAGCAAGATTCTCCTTTTCCTTAGCATCTACAGTCACAGCAGCTCTCTCCAGGGCTTCCACGGCTAAGAAGAACTTGTAATCAGATTCCTTATAGTAGCTTGGACAACCCTCTCTCAATCTCCTACTAATGTCATCTACAGTCCCCCTGCCATCAGGACCAGTATAATACTGGAGCAAGGCATGATATTAATAAAAATAATTATTATAAAAGGAAGATACAAAAGTTTATTCACAAAAAGAAAGAAATCTCCATTAATGTATAAACTTTTTGAAGATGAAGTTTCCTTCAGGGCTTGCCTAAACAGGTTTTACCTCCATTAGAGCAGATATTAGTCTTGTAGCAAGACGGTCACCCTCCTCTGAACAAACTAGTTGATGAAATGTTAACTGAACTAATGTCTGTTGAAGGCTAGCATCAAATCCCTGAATCAATCGAGTGACATGATGCTGCGAAAGAAGTTGAAGCAAAAACAGGGCTTCACTGGATCTAAGTAGCAGCTGCCTAATGCACTCCATTGCCCTTACCTGTAGCACAACAAACCTAAGTGAGAAACTAAACTCATAACTTACAAATCGTAACACCTATGCAAACATTTTAAAATGTAGGCTCACCTCCATGGCAGCTAATTCTGCAGGACTATACGGCAACTTTTGCCTTTTAGTTGTTGTTCCGCCACCATTGGACTCCATATTTCTGGAATAAGCACCAAATAAGTTTCTTACCATACTTCGATCACCAGCACCTAATGCTGAACCACTACCATATAGAATGGAACCACTCAGATCTCCTAAACCTGCTACACAGCCATAAAGTCCCCTCCTCTGGTTCCTCCTAGATCTTAAGAATTTCTCTAAAGATCGGAGTTTGTGTTCAAGGAATTGCATAGCCCCAACAGAGAGTCTGCATACAACTACCCCATTTTCAGATAAAGTGCCTGAAGGACCTAAACTACCTTTTACAACCATTACAGGAAGTTCCCATAGAGGAAAAAGTAATCTAGATGAACACAAACAGAGCCCTTCGTGTGCACCTGAAAAAACAGGCTCAGCTTCCTGAACAACCTGGCCCATGCTAAAACCACCAGCAGCAGTTCTTGTGTTTGATAATGGGCTACTACCTTCAAGTTGTGGCATGCCAACAAATCTTGGGTCCTCAAAAGCTTCAGCTGCCTTCTCAGCAATAACGTTGCTAATAAGGTTTTCAGAATGCACTATTCTTGCAGCTAGCATTAGACACATTGCAGCAGCCTCACCAGCACCAAATCGATTGAAGAAATCTTCTAATACAGATCTTGGAGAGTTGGACTCTAATAGCCGTCTTAGAATGTCTAGTGGCCTGTTAAAAACAATTTCCATCATGCCCATGGTGCTGAAGATGATAATCCTCCTCCTTGGCAATATATGTTGGGTTGAGAGGTCTCCCCTTGCCCAGAGTTTGCCAGACGCCCTTTCACATGATTCCATTGAGCTCTCATAACCACCAAACTCAATTTCTGAATACAGAGACTGCACAGTAGCTGCAGTATCGGGAAAAGGTAAAACATCTGCCACAGAAAGCATTCGTCCTTCAACTGGTAAAGAAGAAACAGATTCCCTTAATGCCCGGGAACTCCTCGTACTTGTCCCTAGATTACCTGATGGGGATGACTGTGAGCTTGAATCCCTGTTCAAAACAAGGAGTGAAGGCATAGTTGGAGGTGATGCATCAGAAAGGATAAGAGTTCCAGCAGAATAATAGGCTGCCTCAACTTTTAGTGAGAGATCATCATTTTGAGGTCTACCAGCAAGAGCCATGGCTCCAAAGGTGAGACCACCACTAACACCCCAAGGAGGAGCAGGCCTTGTTGTGACAACCTTTAAACAGCTAGGCTTGCGATGGTTGGTGTTGAACCCAGTCAAGCTTCCACTAGAAGGAGAGGTAGATAGGTACATTCTTCTGCCATCTGATAAAACAACAAGAAGATGTAGCCACTTGGATTCAAGTGTAGATAAAGGTGAGATGCAAACAATGGATGGCTTCGGTGATCGACTTGAGACTCTTGATCCTGTTGATTGTCTACCTCCATAATGTGCATCCCTCTGATTGACAAGATTCCTTTCTTCAGCAACTTTCTTTATTGGGCCATCACCATTTGGTCCGAGAACATAAACCTGAAGCTTCATCTCTTCAGTTCGTGCATACAATATTTGTCTCTCATTGTCAAAAATCATTTCAACAATGGGGTCAACAGCTCCAAAATTGAATACATTTGGTATAACCCATCTGCAAATAACAGCTAAAATTAAGTTACTAAGGAATTAACGAAGAAACAGTTTGCTGTAAAAATGATGTATTTTTATATGGAAAAAGTGTTTGTCCTTTTAAATGATACAACTTATATCATTTCACTCTCACAAAGAGGTGGGACCCACACTTTTTATTTTTTTTGTCCACTCTCTCTCTTCCTTTATCTATCTCTTTCTCTCACTTAAAATGACACAACTTTACATCTTTTAAAATGACACACACTTTTTCCTTTTTATATACCATTTACCAGATACACATACAATTGTAAAATTAAAAAAAATCCGCAATCAAGTAGCACGGTTAGGGACTTATATACCAACAAAAGATTAAAAATCACAAGATACCTTGAAATTACACTTCCTAAACCAGCAGTGATGCAGATTTTTCTGCAGCGCTTTTGCCATCCTGAACCAGTTGAATAAAGAAGCTCATATATGTGGCCATCACGACCAGCAAGAAAAATGCGGCCCTTATCAGTACATGCTACACAAGTCATTGTAACCCCATCAGATGGTATTGAATACTCTGGCAATGGCTGTAATGAAACTTCTGCGAATGGATCTGAGCCATCTGCTCCTCCAGAGCAGCATACCCCTACTAAAATCAACTGACAAAATCCATTTATTGGTGAATAAAAAAGAACTTATAACATACTGTAACAGAAAACTTAGCTGCAAATATTGAATATCAAACAAAATCATCACATTAAAGTATTAAACATCTCACAAAAAAACTGTTTTAAGAGTAAAGAAGAGCGCCAATAATGAAAATACCTCGTTTGCTGTCTAACTAAAAAGCAGGTATGGTGCCAAAACAACTGCACATACTTTTGATTTGATATTTTTTATTAGACAAATTCACGCACTACTCTGCTTTTTTGGTTTTTGATATATGTTATTCTGCTTTTGGATATTTTTTAAAGGAGTTTCTTTGACAGATGTAAACAGGATTCAAGGACCTTGATACTTTAATGATATTTGTTGTCTTCCATATATCTTCTGGAGAATTTATAGTTACCCTAATTATTTCCTTTTCTTTTTCCTGTTTTTGAAATTAATTTCTTCATTTATAAAAGGAAAACTTGTCTAACTATTGAAGTTTAGCTGTGATGCTCAAATTAGTCTTGCAGAGGCACTAGTAGCTTTGTAATCAGCTACATGACAAATCACTTTCTAGCTGGTAACTTGGCACCTATTCTGTTAAATTTAAACTTCTAAGAGTGGACTAGGTATCAGTCTCTCATACTCAGATACCTAACATTGCTACAAAAGAATACTCTCAAGGACCAATATAAATTCTCCAGTACATTATCTTAAACAAGATGTGATTTATTGCTGCTACCTTTACCCATAGGTCCATACCATTGCCGAACTCTTTCAATCCCCTCTCTGCTATAAACTCGATCAATGATAAATTTGCCCCATCTTGCAGATTTCAATAGAATTTGAAGCCCTGAAACGATCCTAAAATGGCAAATGTGGCCTCTCCATGCACACAACCCTAAAATGATTAAAGCCATACGAACATATCCGAGATGAACTGGAACGCGTTTGCAATGTTGACCATGTCTCCAATCATAGCATCCTGCCAATTATTTCATTATTTGGCTCTAATGATAGTGACAGAGGATTCCAATGAAAAATACCCACCCTTTGAGAAATATTAATGGATAGCCAATTGCCTACTTTACCAAGCTCATTATGGGGCATGCATCTTAAGTTCTAACTCACCAAATGACCACGAAAACCTGGACCAAAGATGTAAAGAACCACTTCAACTCAAAACCTTAAGGTGTTGAGTGAAGGCATTTTTAATGATTTATATTATTCTCTAACACACACCCTCACGCAAGAGCCCTTTGGGCTTGAAGCGTGGATATTGCATAGGCCCAATTTTTTTCTTTTTTGGTTTACCTTCTGCATATTTAATTCTACAAGTGGGGGGCGGTGATGATCGAACTCGTGAACTTGTGGTCAGTGAAGCTTTGATACCATGTAAAAAACCACTTCAACCCAAAACCTTAAGGTATTGAGTGAGGGCCTTTTTAATGGTTTATATTATTCCCTAACAAAAAACAACCTTCTCATTACCTTCCAAACCAGAAAAAATTTCAACCAAAAATTCCAAAAGGTCGAGAAGTTGCAATTATACGCAAAGGCACATTAGGGTTGATAAAAGGCTAATTCAAAATTCCACTGAGCAAACCAGCAAAAGAACAAAAGCAGTTGAACCCCAAACCACTAAGATGAGCATAAAGTTTGATTTGAATCATTTGATGCTATGTGCATCCTCTCTAAGCAAAATAAAGCTTTTACTTTTAGTGTAATTCCAATAATTAATCTCCAAAGGAAAAAACTTATCATATGGGGCATACCAGAGAAAGGCAACCTTGCTTTTAAAAACACACAGTGAAAATTCAATTACATGGATCTTTTAAGTTTTCCTTAGAGTTGTTTTTTCTTATCTCTTTCTTCTTATGAATTACAAAATAGTTCCTATTTGGAAGGTCTTTTTTTTAGCTTCTCTTCTCCTTACAAACAGAAGCTAAGCCAAACAAGTTTTTATAAAAGCTCTTGTTATAAAAAGAGCTTTTTTTTATAATGAAGAAAAAAATAAGTTTTAGTTAAGATGTATGTCAGCTTTTTTGACTCCTCATTTATTTTACAGTTTTACCCTTATTCTAAACTTATATTTATTAATTTTATCATTTACCCTAATAATTCATTTTAGTAATAAATCATTTTATCTTCCCTCCTTCAAAATTATAAATTCTCCAACAACTTAGCTACATGGTCTGGCATTAGAAATGTGGTCATAAGTAAGTCAGAAGGATAATTAAACTACTTATGATCTTTATCCATGCTATTCAAAAACTTTAAGGAAATCAACTACTTTTAGCTGGATTAACAGCAAGCCAAGGTACTATTCAACCAGACACAGAGAGAGAACCACATAAAAACAGGTGGAAAAGTTAATAGATTATTAAGAAACGTTCAATTAAAAGATTTAAGGAAGAAGGGAGATATCATACTTCAAAAGATGAAAGAACAGTATTCAAGCCAAAAGAACTGTTAGTGTGAATGGAAAACCAACACATATGATGTTGATCAGGTACAAAAAAATTATTTACCACATAATAAAAAGAACTGGTTCAGAAGCATAATATTTTAGTACACAAGTCCATGGAAAAGAACTAAAACACAAAATGGTTAATACCTCAACAGGAGTGGCTAAAATTAAAAGATACTGGATAGCTTCAACAAAAACACCAGGTTTTGATTTTGCAAGACCAACAGCACAAATAGCTTGTTCCTCCCCACTATATTCAGGACATTGGCCATCCCTAAGGAAGCAACAATGTTAGATCAGAAGTATTGCAGCACATGTAAATATTAGTTCCACTAAATAGCTTTAATGAATTTAAATTAGAATACAATAACAATCAAAGCAATTTTTAGCCCCCTGAAATCATCTGTCCCCAATTTTTGGTACATTAATAATAATATAATTATAAAACAGAAATAGTAATTTAAAAATCAAGAGAGTTCAAACCGAAACTCAAAGAAACAAAAAGCGTAGTAAGTCTATCTTCAAACATTTAACATCCTCGATCCTTTTCTAACTGCTTAGTCAAACTAAAAGCTTAAACTATTACAAAGTACCAGCAAAAAACACCCTAATAAGTATTCATGCAATAGTCTGTGAGGGTCTGATGTCCCAAATGTAAAAAAAAAAACAATAAAAAACTAAAAGGAAAGAAAAAGGGGAAATATTTATTTTTTAAAACGATGTTAAAAAAAGAAGGAAAGAAAAGAAGGGTTCACTAGTAAAGATCAACTCCTTCCATTGCTTGAAAGCACGCCAAACAAAAGATGTAAGAGGCAACTCCATATAAAAAACTATAAATAAAGAAATCCAGGAAGACAGCTTTCATTCAAAAGATGAGTAAGGGACGTGTCTAGTCTCAGACATGAAACTAAATTAATTCTAACTCATCATCGTTGTACTTACCACTTATCAAAACGCCAAAGAAACAAGGAATTGTCTACAGATGCCCATGCCCTGCGTATTTCGGGAAATATTCCGCAAAAAGCAGTTCCTTCCCCACCAGCTGAATTGTATCTTTCAATGAGCACGGGAGGCAACTCCCAGGTATTCACTACCTCAACTAAAGGGGGCCACTGAAACGATATCAAATATGCAATCAGATGGAGAAAGAGAGTAAAACAGAACCACAACCTAAATAATTATGACAACACACATGCTCTATACCTAGAATGCAGTCATTATGATATTACCATCCTCTGTGATATACCCAAATAACATTCAGCCATTTCATTTTAAAATAATTTTGATGTTTGAACACTCCCATAGGAATATGACTTTTCACGTGAAAATGGAACACTGAATAAAAGAAGTGGTTCACAAGTCTAAACTAACAAATGATGAATTTGATTTTTTTTCCCTCCCGAAAATTCATTCTGGCTATGCACAAGGTAGGGATCCCTAAGCCAAATAACTCGAATTTAGCACGCAATCAGATTTGAGAGGTAAATACTGAAAATACCTCTTTGGGATGAGTGGAATAAGGATGACTGGCGTATCTGGAGGCTTCTAGAGCTTCTTCGAGGTCGAGCTGAGACGAAACTTCGCGACCAATGCGATCACTGACAACAAGACCCGCATTGGTGACATCACGCATCACAATCTCGCCTTCCCACGACATCCCGATAGAAGCCCTACAATTAGAAGAAGCTTAAGCTGGAACCAGGACAAGAGGAATGAAATTGAAGCCTTCTTTCGTTTATGGCTTTCCTGAGAGACAAACAGAATATGTAATTTGGAATTCGGGGAAGAGAGGAAGGAATGGACCACTGAGAACTGAGAACTGAGAAATGGAAGGAATGGCGAGGTAGGGTTTTGGGGAGGGTTTCGTAAATTGATAGTGGCGGGCAAACAATTTCCCTTGTCCGCTCATAATAATTATTATTATTATTATCTTTTTTTTGGTACGACATGTTACTAAATTTTAATTTAATAGTTATAATTTATTATGAATTAATAATTAATTAATAAATATAATTTAATAAATTATAATCATTAAATTAGCAAAAATCAACAGTTAATATTATTATTATGGAAAGGTCATATTTACTATTTTTTTTTACTATATCTTATTATCAAATCTTAACCGTTGATTTCTATTAATCTAACGATTATAAATTATTGCACCATATTTATTAATTAATTATTAATTCTCAATAAATTATAATTGCTAGATTGGCGAAAATCAATTATTAAGATTTTGTAATAAGGAAAAAATAGTAAGTATAACCTTATTCATAAAATTATGTCATTTTTTTTTTTTGTAAACAAAATTATCTCATTTTAAATAAGAAAAAAAGATACATGGTAAAATCACGAGGGAAGAAAGTTAGTGGTTTTTTTTAATTTAAATAAATAAATAGTAATAATATTAATTAAAATGATTTAAAAAAACAAACATTTTTCGCATTTCAAAATATTGAACGAGGTATGTGGTCGTCTTCAAGTTTTTTTTCATAATTAGTGAGTTATTATTATTAGGGAGATATTATATTTATTATCTTTTTTTTCTTATTGTCTTTTACTATCAAATTTTAAGAGTTGATTTCCGTTAATTTAACAGTTATAATTTATTAAAAATTGATAATTAATAAATATGTGTGACCTCATAAATTATAATCATTAGATGAGCGGAAATCAACAGTTAAGATTTAGTAGTAAGAGATAATAAAAAAAAATATAGTAAGTATAAACTCTCCTTAATTTTATATCATTTAAAAAGATAAACTTTTAAATTATATATTGATTTATTTCTATTTAAACAGCGTTGATTAATATTTACTCGAATAAATGAGTTTCTTACTCAAGTAAATAGCTCTTTTGGTACCTGTATAAGAGTTCTTATTTTTAGTTTCTTTTCTAGGTCAAACAAAATTTTACAAAAGTTATAATAATAAAAAGGTTTTTTTGTTCTATAGTACCTCGTCGTGACATGAGCGTGAAATGGAGAATTCGTTTTTTTAACTTAGAGGGGCTAAAAGATTTATTTTGACTTTTTGGCCCCATATTGTAGCGTGGATCTCAAAATATATGAAAGATCTCCCTCCAAGCGGTACATACGACTTTCATCGAATACGACTTTCCACATAATTCGATATGTATCTATGAGATCGAGTATAGAATTTTGTTTACTCACTTGAAATTAAGTATCCCCCTTCCTACTAGGATTGGAAATCCTGTCTTTTACATATCCATACGATTGAATCATTGGGTTTCTGAAATAATGTAAAGTGCTTCGAATCCTTCTATTTGACTCGTACTTCATTAGACCGTACATCTTTCTTGGTATATCCAAATAGTAGATAGGAGCATAAACTGAAACATTCTGGAGCTACAAAGATGGTTATTAAATCGTTAGCGCCGCATAAAAACATTCCTCCTAGAATAGTTGTTAATACAAATAACATAATCTCTGTTATAGCCATTTATGTACATTCAATGTACTGGACAGATAGAGGAATACATAGAGTTGAACATAATAATACTATAAGAAATTGAAAGATTTCGTTGAAATTGTTCGTTTGAAAATTTCCTGAAAAGCTAATCATAGGTTCTTCTCTCCATCGAAACAATAGGGCCGCTATGCTCATTATCGCCATGCTCATTACTAAACTTGTTGAAGAGATAAAATAGAACCAAGATATTTCTTTTTTATAAGAGGTTGAATCGATCATCAGAAGAAGAATTAGGAAAAAATCAAAAATTCATAGGAAGAGTTTTTTTTAAGCTCTTATGAGTTTTTTTTAAATGAAACGTTCAAGTCGAGTTTAGAGTCCTTTTGAGTTTGGAGAGCTGGCTATAGTTTTCATCATCGTCACTTTCTCTTTCTCCACCATTCAGATCTCTTTTGGCTTCACTCTGTTCTCAAAGGTACACTCTCTTTCTCAGTGCTACTACTTAATTTTCATGCGCTAAAGCCACATTATTTTCTGTTTATCTAAGCTATTTTTCCCGCACTTTCATCGCTTAGCTTTCATTTGTTTTTATAGTAGTTGAGTTTTCTTTTGCTTTTTGGTTCTCGCCATCGTTACTAGAGTTGTCGGCACCACCATCGATGTCTCTGCCCCAGAGTCTGTCTCACTAAGTGCATGTTTGGATCCTCTTTTTTTAAGCTACAAGCTACTTATAAGTATAAGCTAGACCAAACAGGTTTTGGAAAAAGCTCTTTTTTTATAATGAAGAAAAAAACTGAAAACTGAAAGCTACTAGGAGGAGCCTTTTCTTAAGCTCTTATCTGTTTTTCTTGAATTGAGTGTTTTTTTAAATGAAGAGTGATAAAGATAGAGAGAGATATAATTTTCTTAAAATATGTGCTTTTAAATAATTTTTAAGCTAAAATTTTTATATAATTTCCAAACAGCTTTTAGCTTCTTTTTTAAGCTTTTTATTAGCTTTAGCTTATAAGTAGCTTTTAGCGTAAAAATAAGAGGATCCAAACATACTCTAAGTCGATCGTCCTCCGTATTGTGTGTATGTTGTCTATGCATTCATACCGTTACTGTAATCGTAGCTCGGGGTTCATTTTATTTGAATGCGCGTCGCTTTTGTGATCCATCGTTTTGATTTGCATCTGAGTTTGTTGCGTTACTGATTCATTCACTTTTTATTTGCATTTGTTGCTTTTCCTGTTTCATTCTTTATCATTTTCTGGTCAATCTCTTCAAACGAAATCATTAGATTTAGCAATGAAATAAAAGAATTTTGGATTGATTACAGCCAAGATTAAACTAGTTATTTCCAATGAAGCTTTGATTTTTTTAATATGAGATCTAGAAATATTGTTATCGTTTAGTTTAGTCTAGCCTTAATTAGCCAAATTACAGGGCTTTAAGAATGTTGAGCTATATTCTTTATCTGTTTTATCCTCCTCCCTATGATAAGGGGAAGATAATGTGTAACATGGTTGATGTAGGACTAGTTCTTATATAAATTTGGTTTCTTACATCTTGATTTTGATCATTGGTTTATCACATGACTAACTTATACTGGATTCCTTTTTATGTTGGATTGACTTATACCTTGTGTATGATACTTGATTTCCCGTACGAGTTCAAATAGGGCGAGAAATGTGATTTTAATGTTTAGTTTTTATTTTTTTATTTATTTTTTTATTTTTTTATTTTTTTTATTGGATATACCCTCTCCTTGCCCATTTCCCAAATTATATTTTCAAGTACGTATTTGTAAGTTTGTAATTATAAACTATGGGAGAATAACTTATCATGTTGTAGGATAAGTTCTCTTTCTTCCCACAGAAAGAAGAAAATAGAGAGAGAAAGTAAAATGAGGAAAGAAAAAATAAAATATGCGGACCCCACTTTTTATATATGTATGTAGGAAAGTTGAATTTTTTCCTATAACATGATACATATATAACTCATAAACTATAATGTGTGTTGATTGTCACCAGATGGCAAACTGGAGAACTAATAGTTAGGGATAGAACTAGATTCCATCATTTCAGGCATGGTTCATGTTCTTGTAAAAGTTTCAACAAATAAAAAGATCCAGAAAAATAGCTATAAGTCACATGTCAATTTAGATCTTCATTTAATCACTGTAGAAATTTAATTATTTTGTATTATATTCATTTTGTTACTTGCCAAGGTCAAGAAACATGCTAATTTTGATGGAGCTGGTCTATAAAATAGTAACTGAGGTTCCATTGCCAAGTTTGAAGGGCTTTAATCTTCAATACTGATGTACATAAACAAGTTGTCACGCTCTTGGATTGAATTACATGCCAGATTCAGTTAAGAAACCAAATATAAGGGTAAGCGGCCAATTTGCCACTTGTGAAAAAGAAAAGAAAAAACTAGAATTCTTCTATTTTATTTCACAAACATTTTATGTGCAAAGTAGAACCATAAATGTTGAATGTATGTGCATAAGAGCTTTTGATGTGCTATAGTTAATTGATTATGACGATGAAATGTATTTTGCTATTTTAAGATTATGGATACCGTTGTATGACTAACACCTAAAAAGGGATAAGAATACGAGAGGTAAGGATGACTGGCGTATCTGGAGGGAGGCCTCTAGAGCTTCTTCGAGGTCGAGCTGAGACGAAACTTCACGACCAATGCGATCACTGACAACAAGACCCGTATTGGTGACATCACGCATCACAATCTCACCTTCCCAGTTCCCACGACATCCCGATAGAAGCCCTACAATTAGAAGCTTAAGCTGGAACCAGGACAAGAGGAATGAAATTGAAGCCTTCTTTCGTTTATGGATTTCCCGAGAAACAAACAGAAAATGTAATTTGGAATTCGGGGAAGACAGGAATGGACCACAGAGAACTGAGAACTAACTAGAAGGAACGACGATGTAGGGTTTTGGGGAGGGTTTCGTAGATTGATAGTGGCGGGCAAATTCTTGGATTTTTATTTTTTTTTTGGTACAAAAATTCCTGGATATTCGTTAGGGCCGGATATGCTTATCAAAAAATAAATTATCACTCTTATAGTTAATTTAATCATCATTAATTTTATCAATTTAACTATTATTATTTATTAAAAATTAATAATTAACTAATAAATATGACATAATAAATTAATAATTGATTAATAAGTATGACAAAATAAATATTATTAATTTTTAATAAATTATAATCGTTAGATTAATGGTGTTTAAATTAGTTTTTGGTGGTAAATGGATTCATTCTCATTTATTATACCCCAAATGTTTAATTGATTAAAAATATTTTTTGATAATTACAATTAATTTAATTGATAATAATTTATTGTC